TCTCTGTTCCCCCCTCTTTCGCCCCCCTCCCCATCTCTCTATCCCCCCCCTTTCTCAAGTCTGAGGGGGCCGGCCGTTTCATGTTAGAGCCGCCGGACCGGGTGGCAGCCTCCCCGGTCCGGCGGCATTCCTCTCACTAACACTGAAGGAGGAGGAGGAGCATGTCTCTCTGTCATGCTCCCTGCGGTTCCCACAATTCCCAGCACAGGATGTGGGAACCGCAAAGGAGCATGACAGACACATGCTCCTCCTCCTCCTTCAGTGTTAGTGAGAGCAATGCCGCCGGACCGGCGAGGCTGCCACCCGGTCCGGCGGCTGCAGCATGAAACGGCCGGCCCCCTCACAGTGTGCCACCGGACCGGCCACCCGGTGGCACCTTCCTCAACTCCCCAAATGCCGCCCCCAATCCAGCTTTGCCGCCGGGTCCCCTGAAGGCGGCCCTGGCGGCGGGCCCCCCTCCCGGCCGGGCCCTCGGACCATGTCCAAAGTGCCCGACCGGTCAGTCCGCCCCTGGTCCCATCTCACCTTAAAAAGGACATTCTGGAAGGCAAGGATGTCAACCTGGTGTCATTGCTTATAGCCTCCCAGGATGTCCTAGAGAATAGGACTTTTGCATATGGGGATATATCTGTCGTACTAAGGTCTAGAGACCCTAGACTAAATAAAAAACTGTCAATACCTGAATTTGTACTGGGTTTTGGGATTTATAGGGATGTGTACTGCTCAGTATAGCCAGGGAAAAGAGCAGAGCTGGATGTATACATGCACAAGTTGGTGGACCTGGGGCACAAATACGGTGGTACCGCTTTTTACAATTACCATCCGTTCCTTTTCTGCAAAGGTGGCTGCAGCTCTGGCTCAGTTCAATTTAAGCATTAATTGGAGCAAATTGGACACTGAGCTATTCTGCAGGCATTTTGCAGGCCTCAGGCCTCCAGCATGTGCAGTATGCGCATCTACAGCACATCACACGAATCTCTGCCCTAACACAGCCGAGATCGAACAAAACCAATCTTCCCCTAACTTTCCTAAAGCTACCAAGGGATTAAAAGACAAGCTGGGGAGAGACATTGTATTCCTGGGTAAATCTCAGATATGCAATAATTTCAATGCGGGCAATTGTGGTTTTAGTTCATGTAGACTGATGCATGTGTGTTCACACTGTTTTAGAGCCCATGCCAAAACCATGTGCCCAAATAAAGCATTCCCAAAACCGTATCACACGTGTGTGAACTTCACTTTATTGACATCACTTTTACAGCCACATCCTTCACGTCATTTCACTAAATATATTATTTTGGGCATGACTGAGGGTTTTCACACCAGGTTGGTCCATTTACCCTCTGGAATGCGACAACCTACAGTCCACATTAGACGATCCACAGTTGGTAAATACACTTATCTCAACTGAGCTGGAACAAGGGTTTCTGTTGGGACCATTCTTTTCCCCACCCTTCACGTCCTGGAGAACCAATCCTATAGGGGTGGTCACAGGGAAGACCTCACTTAAACCCAGACTGATAATTGATCTATCAGCACCACACTCCTCCACTATCCCTAGCCTAAACTCTCTAATACCTTCTGAAGAATTTTCACTGCACTACGCCACTATCGACCATGTCATAGGGGCCATTATACAAGCAGGTACGGGAGCATGGCTGAGTAAAACAGACGTGGTAACCGCCTTCAAGCTACTACCCATACACCCTTCCCTGTGGTATCTACACAGTATTAAATGGCAAGGGAGGTATTATTTTTTCACCCGACTTACTTTCGGCTCCAAAAGCAGTCCACATATTTTTGACACGTTTGCGGAGGCTCTATGTTGGCTCTTACTAAATGTGTGCAAATGCCCTTCGGTTATCCATTATCTGGACGATTTCCTCTTGATTGAGAATAACACTCTTCCACCTAGTAGTTTGAATCACTTATTGGCACTGTTTGAATCTCTTAACATTCCTGTCTCTCCCCACAAAACTTTGGGTCCAGATACCTACATGCAATTTTTGGGCATACAACTAGACACGATAAACATGCAGGCCAGTCTACCTCAGGACAGGATTGAGCGTACCCTGGCAAGTATTGAACATTACCTGTTACAAGGTCATTGCAATCGGAAAGAACTCCAATCACTACTGGGATCGCTCAATTTTGCCATGAGGATCATACCCCAAGGTAGATCGTTTATGTTAAGACACCTCCAGTGTCTTTAGGCAAAACCGCCGTTTAGTAGACCTTCCCCAGCTGCAGTAACAGTCTCCGTTCGCTTAATCTGTGGTATACGAACCAAATGCAGGGGAAGCGGCAATCTCCCAACCAAGATCCGTGAACGGCTCCAAACTCCCGAACGGCAATACACGAACTGCTGCTAACCGCCGAACAACAATTTTCACCAAGCGGCTTCCGTTCCATCCAGCAGTCTCTAAACGTGAAGAAGAAATCCCCCCAATAACGAGACAGAAGCTCCGCATTGAGGGTCAAACAGGATCTGGCTTTACTGTGGGCTACCTGCCCGTATTTATGCAGGTCTCCCACTTGGTGGACACTCCCCTAGGGGACCAAATGGGAGACTGGAATTACAGATAGACATGGGGACATTCCAGACACACAGTTACAGATTTTACCCACAGTGCATTATGATTCCCTCCCCTCTGCCCTGGAGTTAATTACCAAGTAACTCAATTAACTCCAGGACAAAGCCAGTCGCCATTTTAAATATAAAATCATAAAAGACATAAAAATACATAACTTTAAAATAACCGAACATTTCCCATTCGTATCACATATCCCCAGATAGCCTGGATCTGAGTGCATATTATTGGCGAATAGCGCTCAGATCCCACACACATAGTTCAATTGCCATGGAGTCAAAGTTCTTACAGTCTTTCGGTATACGAATGACTCCATGGGAAGGCTATCTGGGTTCAGTCTTTTCGTATGCTCCAAAACTCCCGAACGGCCGGTGTTCGTATGGTTTCTTGGAGGCAGCCAGGCGTTCCGTTGTTTCAGCGGTGTTCGGCAGAAAAAGTGTCCGTTTTTAGTTCCATAGAAATAGAGCCAAACACCGCTGGGCTTTCGCTTGGTTTAAAATGGCCGCTGCCTCGTGGTCGACATACGAACGACGACCACCCTGAATTCGGTTTAATTGAGAAGTGTCTGCGGTTAACCACAACGTTCTAATTGGGATCAATAGGTTAACCAGCAGCACACTTCTCTCCTGGGTGGCCGTCCGTTCGGCAGGTTTGTTCGGGAAAAAGAGTCATTTGAATGGCTGGGCTTTAGAAACCAGCCATTCATACGACCGGGAGACAAACAGACGAATACATCCCAAATACAAGCAGACAGATGGTTCTGTCACACAATCCATATGTAAAATCCTGATGCACAAATACAGGAGATTAATAATAGTCAAAGGATAAACCGGGTCAATAACAGGAACTCAGTACAGGACAAACATTAAAGTGCTCAGACACCACGAAAGGTCCAAAGCAGACAGAGAGCCCACTTTAAATAGGGAGATCCAGTACCTGATTGACTCTGCTTCTTGGGATTATCAGAGCAGAAAGGCAGCAGCTGTGTAAAAAGACAAACGCACTACAAAAT